CACACACACACACACACACACTACACACACATGTACGTACACACACATACACACACAGTACTATACACACACACACACACATTTATTACTTATTTTCTGTTTCTATTGTTTAGATTAATGTTAGATGAATTTCGTAGATAAGAATGTTAGAATGTTAATGTTAGATGAATTAGAACTAGTTTATAAGAAAATTTAGGTATATGAGATTATTTGAACTAGTTGAATTAATAGAACTAGTTTATTTTTAGTAAGAAAATTTAGGTATATGAGATTATTTGAACTAGTTGAATGAATATAACTAGTTTATTTTTAGTAAATGCTTAGTTGAACTAGTTGAATTAATATAACTAGTTTATTTTTAATAAGAAAATTTAGGTATATGAGATTATTTGAACTAGTTGAATTAATATAACTAGTTTATTTTTAGTAACAAAATTTAGGTATATGAGATTATTTGAACTAGTTGAATTAATAGAACTAGTTTATTTTTAGTAAATGCTTAGTTGAACTAGTTGAATTAATGTTTCGCCTATATAAACATAGGAAATGTCGTCTGACGATGAAAAATATTTAATTATGTGCGAATACTGTGAAGACCAGCGCGGCCTGTGCGACAGAAATTTCCTTGTTGATGATAGGCGATTCAGCATGAAGCTGGATGAGACATTCAAATTCGATACAGTAAGTCACAACGACAAGTATATTTTCGTAATTAAGCATGACTTATATATGCTTCATTTGCTTCAACTTATAATTTTTAATTTTCACTATTCTACTAGCGCATCCCCTGCCATGCAATAATTTGTGTCTAGGATAAGGTATGTTTCAAAGCTATGGAAACTATGGAGATAAAGAGAGTTTACCTGAAAACTGAGCATGGTTATACTTTCAACATCGAAGTATACAATGCAAACACGTACACCTATTTTGAATGCAAAAATTGGCAAGCACTATGCAAGGCTTATGCATTTGAGTCTGATATGGTTATCACCTTTGATATTCGTCCGGAAGATGATATTGAAGGTAGTAGAGACATCTGGATCGATGTGCAGACGCCTCCAGTTTTACCATTATGTGAGTTCTTGTCAACTATATTTTTGTCTTTGATATTGCTTATTCAAAAATAATTGACAACTAATTTCTATTGACAGCTTATTTCCATTCGAGCAAACATGTCTGGCGCTTGGTAGATAGGACCTACTACTGTCCCAGAGCTGAACTAAACTGCGAGGAGATAAGTCATCATGTTTCATGGCTTGAGGATCTTCATACTGTCAAGACAAATTTTCTTCCTGCACTTAGAAATGTTAGTACTTAAAACGTGCGACCAATAGTGATCGTATTGAACTACGGTCACATCTATTTAGGAATGATGGTAAGATTTTTACTATTTATCCTCAGTGCATCTTTTGCATACATAATTTTTTTGCTAAATTTCATTGCTAAGTATATTAATTAAATACTATACGATGTTCTTCAACAGGGACTCCCCATGACAGTTGTGCCTCAGGGGATCGAGACTAAAGGTCGCATGTCAATTGTTAGCTTACGGCCAAGATATCCTACATTGCACATGAGTGCATTCAGGATTTCTAGAAGTGATGAATGCTTAATAGTGAAAGATTGGAGGAAAATTGTTAACGATTGCAGAGAAGTACTAGGCGGCAGCAATGAGAAGCGCTTCCCACGATTAGGAGACAGGATCATCTGCATTCTCCAGTATGATGAATCAGGAGAGCTATACATGTTCTATGCTATTTTACCTGAGAGAGAGCAGCAGGAGTGATTTAGCTAGTTTCATGCTCTTAGTACTTGTCCTCTCAAGTCCGTGTTCTTCGTCCTGAACTTAATCTCAAAGAGTGATTTGCTTTTGTGATGTTATGAACGCTTATAATATCATGACCATCATATTGAACTCGATGATATTTTTGCTTCTGGTACAAGTGAATGTTTCTTCTTTAAGCTAGTGTTGGTGGTGATTAGATAGCGGTAATCAAGTATATATATTATACTTGATCACCTAATTAGGTGATCAAGTATAATATGGATATAGGCATACTCTTGATCACTTAGCTAGCTAGTATATAGCTATAGGATTGCATCAGTCAAAACTAATCTGCGGTACTTTCACCTAATGATTTAACAACTCATTATAATGTAAAACAATCACTAAATTAAATTGAAAACACAAAATTAAAGGAAAAAATTAAAAAAAAACCAAACATTTAGTACCGGTTGGTGTTACCAACCGGTACTAATGTCCTACACGCACACGGGCCTGGCTCGTGCCACGTGGTGGCACTTTAGCGCCGGTTCGTGACGAACCGGTACTAAAGGGGGGGACTTTTAGTCCCCACTCTTTAGTGTCGGGTGACGAACCGACACTAAAGGTCGTTACGAACCGGCACTAAAGGCCGGTTCTGCACTAGTGCCCCTCAGGATTGGATTCCCTGTCTTGTTCTCGATCTGCGCGGACCTGTTACTCCTCGTCTCCGCGGTTGCATGCTCTGGGCACTGGGATATACGATTCCACCGGAATATCGAGTGGTCTAGGCTACGGGCAGCCCTACTGCTGGTATTGTAGGATCATTCGGACACCGTGTCCTGGCCGCTAGCACCGTCGGGAGAGTTCTCCGTCAACTACGCATACCAGGCATTATGTCGGCCCCCCACCATTCCTTGGCTTTTCTCCCTTGTGGAAGGCCCCTTTTCCCTTGAAGATTAAGATCTTTGTTTGGCAACTCCTTAGAGATATCGCCTCCCTTCGGGGACCGAGGTGCGTAAGCGGCAAGGCCCGGGAGATGGAATGTGCCCCTTATGGACGGTGCCCGGGTATGGGACTCACACCCTTTTCTCATGTACCGCGGCTCGGGTCCTATGGACGTTCGTCCGTGAGGCGCTAGGGCCCGACTGGGAGGCCCCGAACCTCGCAGACTTCCTCCAAACCAGGGCTACCCAACCTGGGTGGCAGGGTCGCTTATTTTGGCTTATTTTTGCGGCCTTGTTGTGGACTCTTTGGACAATGCGTAATAAAATGGTGATTGAGCGGGTGTTTCCAAGGCGAACGTCTGACTCCTTCAAATTACTTGCTTTTCTGCAGCACTGGCACCCGCTTACTAGGCAGCGCGACCGCGCTCGTCTTGGCCTCATGCTGGATGCGCTCCTGCCTACAGCACGCCGTTTATCGTCTTCGTAGGGCCGCTTGTCGGCAGCCAATAGGTGATTTTCTTCTTCTTATTATTTCTCTTACGTTTCTTGGGCATGATTGTGTTGCTGCCCCAGCCGTTGTTATGTTGCGGATTTGAATGTTGGTTATACGGATCTTTGCTTTATTTATAAAGCGGGGCGGAAGCCTATTTTGAGATGTGAATGAGCTACAGTATTTCCCAGTACGGTAGTATGTTCATTGCAGTTAGTTTGTAGCGGATCTATCAGGGACGTAATGTAACTCAAGAAGTGTTGCTTATCGTCTGCAAGTTGTTAAATTAATTCGAGGCGCCGGTTTTATTCCTGTTTGTTTGGACACTGAGTTCATCATCAGTCGGGTAGATTCAGTTTGGGGCAGAATGTGTCTTGTCTGCGTCAGAATTATTACGCTCTTAAATTAAGCAAGGATATTGATCTGCAAGTTCAGGGCAGAAAAATGCTTATTATTTTCCTAGGTAGATCGTTCACTGAATAATCTGCAACTGAACATGAGGCAGCCTGTTTCTATCGCTGGATTATCTGCAAGTGCTCTGTCGATTATGCGGATTAAAATCCAGCCGGTGAAATTAGCAACAGAGTGCCATGGTGTATTATTATTCTTTTGAGTGAATCCCTTCTTATTTTCAGCCTGTTTAGTGCAAGGAAAAATAATTGATCTGCACGTTCACACTATTTGATTTATGAAATGATATTGTGCAAGAAAGCTTTCGTCGACAAGGTGAACCCAGCTCCGATAGGGGAGTGGCGACTGCGGGCACGCCAACAACTCGTTCTGGCACCGACACTGGTTGTTCGGTGGTCTTGGAATCTTGACGTAATTTTTATTCTGTTTGAGATGCTTTGTACTTCCGGTGCACTTTGATAAGTGCACTTTGATAATAGATCTGGATCATTTTGCAAAAAGAAAAAAAAACTAACACACTGATATATGTATTACTACAAAAAAAGGTTAATACATGGGACCATCAAAGCGTAGAGTTTCCCTCTCTCAATTCATTGATATCAAAACACACGGAACATCTGTGTTGTATGCGATTCCTCGGCTTGGATTACGAACACCAGGTAAAACATGTATTTTAGAGGAAATATTAACCAGATAAAACACAAGTTTATGTGAAGGGGCTTCCAAGGAAGAAATTTTTGACCAAAGTAACAAATGTGGACCGCACAACATAAGAAGCTCAATTATATTATTTGTCGGTAACCAATACTACATTTGCAAGCATATGTGATGAAATTATTCCTCTAGCCAGAAAAGAAGCATAATTCTAGGCACAACAACACTGATCCTTCTTGCAATACGCGTGAGCCGAGGGCTTAAAGCTCAGGCCGCATACGGTTTGGCAACGATCTTCGCACTTTTCCTGATGGAAGCATGGAAGATTCGCTCCATCTTCAACTGCAAGTTCAATCCATGATCCATGTAAGTCCATGATCCATGATCCATGCATGGAAAAATATATGAATTGATGTATGTATGTAGGGGGGAAATGGTGACGACTTTGGTTAACTAAACAAGTGCAATGACTTGAATACGAATGAAAGTAACCGATCAAGACTCGAGAGGACAACAAAAAATTGGCAACACATGAACAAAACAAGAAGAGATGTTATTACTTGTGCGAGCGTAGCAAGACGACGACGATAGGGTGGAAGCCATGATCATAAGAACCACAAAAATCACAGCCTTCCTGGTAGCGTTGCTCTTGGCTGCCATGACAAAGAGATCGACAAAGAATCGCTTCTTACTTACTTGTGTGCTTAAGGATGTCGTAAGCTTTGGCGCTTGCATAGTTGTTTATATAGAGGGACAAAAATCAAATCTTTGGCGTTCAATTAATGTATCATCTTGTGGATATACACCTGATTTTTGGCAGGAGTTAATGTATTAATTGATATTTAAGGACACATTTACGTAAAGACAATAGATACCTCCTTTTGATATATTTTTAGCTGGAATTAATTGGTTTCCAAAGATGTAGCATCCTCCTTTCCTTGGCAACGGCCTCTTGGACGCGAATTCAAGGAATCCTCTACGTTTTGAGGCATGCTTGGTATTAGTTTTTCGTGCAAAATGGTATTCTAACATTTTTATTGTTTACAAGTATAATAGAAGATCAAGTTTGTTTCCAAACAAAGGATTTATTAACTTTGTTTTGCGATTACTAAATTAATTTTCTATATCTGATGCATGTACTCCCGAGAGACAAACGTCCGCTTTCGAGAAAAACTTAAACCCTAACCACAAAAAAATAACTTAAACCTAGGGCAACCCAGTTCCTTTCACGCAAAAGAAAAGCCCAGCGCACTAGTACATGCGAGAGACTTGCCCGTGGGCTCCATTTGAGCATCAGGTAGTCCACGATATAGCTGGCCATCTGTCGGACCAGGTCGGACTTGGGGCCGGGCCTGACCGAAAGCAGAAAGCCTAGGCTCGAGCCCGGCCCGACCCGGCTGTCAGGCCTAGAATTCAGGCCCAAGCCCGACCCATTAGTGGAAATGTTGGAGAACGTAGTAATTTCAAAAAAAAAAAATCCTACGCACACGCAAGATCATGGTGATGCATAGCAATGAGAGGGGAGAGTGTTGTCCACGTACCCTCGTAGACCGAAAGCGGAAGCGTCAGAACAACGCGGTTGATGTAGTCGTACGTCTTCACGATCTTACCGATCCAAGTACCGAACGTACGGCACCTCCGAGTTCAGCACACGTTCAGCTCGATGACGTCCCACGAACTCCGATCTAGCAGAGCTTCACGGGAGAGTTCCATCAGCACGACGGCGTGATGACGGTGATGATGTTGCTACCGACACAGGGCTTCGCCTAAGCACCGCTACGATATGACTGAGGTGGAATATGATGGAGGGGGGCACCGCACACGGCTAGGAGAGATCAACAGATCAACTTGTGTCTAGAGGTGCCCCCCTGCCCCCGTATATAAAGGAGCAGGGGGGGAGAGGCGGCCGGCCAACGAGGGTGCGCCAAGGGGGGACTCCTACTCCCACCGGGAGTAGGGCTCCTCCTTTCCTTGTTGGAGTAGGAGAAGGGAAGGAAGGGAGAGAGGATGAGAAGGAAAAAGGGGGGCGCCGCCCCCCCTCCTTGTCCAATTCGGACTCGAGGGGGAGGGGGCACGCGGCTTCCCTGGCCGCCCCTCCTCTTCTCCCACTAAGGCCCATTAGGCCCAATATACTCCCCGGGGGGGGGGGGGGTTCCGGTAACCCCCCGGTACTCCGGTAAATGTCCAAAACCTTCCGAAACACTTCCGGTGTCCGAACATAGTCATCCAATATATCAATCTTTACGTCTCGACCATTCGAGACTCCTCGTCATGTCCGTGATCATATCCGGGACTCTGAACTACCTTCGGTACATCAAAACACAAAAACTCATAATACCGATCGTCACCAAACTTTAAGCATGCAGACCCTACGGGTTCGAGAACTGTGTAGACATGACCGAGACACGTCTCCGGTCAATAACCAATAGCGGAACTTGGATGCTCATATTGGCTCCCACATATTCTACGAAGATCATTATCGGTCAAACCGCATAACAACATACGATGTTCCCTTTGTCATCGCTATGTTACTTGCCCGAGATTCGATCATCGGTATCTCAATACCTAGTTCAATCTCATTACCAGCAAGTCTCTTTACTCGTTATGTAACGCATCATCCCGCAACTAACTCATTAGTCACATTGCTTGCAAGGCTTATAGTGATGTGCATCACCGAGAAGGCCCAGAGATACCTCTCCGACAATCGGAGTGACAAATCCTAATCTTGAAATACGCCAACTCAACAAGTACCTTCGAAGACACCTGTAGAGCACCTTGATAATCACCCAGTTATGTTGTGATGTTTGGTAGCACACAAAGTGTTCCTCCGGTAAACCAGAGTTGCATAATCTCATAGTCATAGGAACATGTATAAGTCATGAAGAAAATAATAGCAACATACTAAACAATCAAGTGCTAAGCTAACGGAATGGGTCAAGTCAATCACATCATTCTCCTAATGATGTGATCCCGTTAATAAAATGACAACTCATGTCCATGGCTAGGAAACTCAACCATCTTCGATTAACGAGCTAGTCAAGTAGAGGCATATTAGTGACACTATGTTTGTCTATGTATTCACACATGTATTATGTTTCTGTTTAATACAATTCTAGCATGAATAATAAACATTTATCATGATATGAGGAAATAAATAATAACTTTATTATTGCCTCTAGGGCATATTTCCTTCAGTCTCCCACTTGCACTAGAGACAATAATCTAGATTACACAGTAATGATTCTAACACCCATGGAGTTTTGGTGCTGATCATGTTTTGCTCGTGGAAGAGGCTTAGTCAACGGGTCTGCAACATTCAGATCCATATGTATCTTGCAAATCTCTATGTCTCCCACCTGGACTTGGTCCCGGATGGAATTGAAGTGTCTCTTGATGTGCTTGGTTCTCTTGTGAAATCTGGATTCCTTTGCCAAGGCAATTGCACCAGTATTGTCACAAAAGATTTTCATTGGACCCGATGCACTAGGTATGACACCTAGATCGGATATGAACTCCTTCATCTAGACTCCTTCATTTGCTGCTTCCGAAGCAGCTATGCACTCCGCTTCACACATAGATCCCGCCACAACATTTGTTTAGAACTGCACCAACTAACAGCTCCACCATTCAATGTAAACACGTATCCGACTTGCGATTTAGAATCGTCCGGATCAGTGTCAAAGCTTGCATCGACGTAACCATTTATGACTAGATCTTTGTCACCTCCATAAACGAGAAACATATCCTTAGTCATTTTCAGGTATTTCAGGATGTTCTTGACCGCTGTCCAGTGATCCACTCATGTATTACTTTGATAACTCCCTGCTAAGCTAATAGCAAGGCACACATCAGGTCTGGTACACAACATTGCATACATGATAGAGCCTATGGCTGAAGCATAGGGAACATCTTTCATTTTCTCTCTATCTTCTACAGTGGTCGGGCATTGAGTCTGACTCAACTTCACACCTTGTAACACAGGCAAGAACCCTTTCTTTGCTTGATCCATTTTGAACTTTTTCAAAACTTTGTCAAGGTATGTTCTTTGTGAAAGTCCTATCAAGCGTCTTGATCTATCTCTATAGATCTTGATGCCCAATATGTAAGCAGCTTCACCGAGGTCTTTTGTTGAAAAACTCTTATTCAAGTATCCTTTTATGCTATCCAGAAATTCTATATCATTTCCAATCAGTAATATGTCATCCACATATAATATTAGAAATTCTACAGAGCTCCCACTCACTTTCTGATAAATACAGGCTTCTCCAAAAGTCTGTATAAAACCATATGCTTTGATCACACTATCAAAACGTTTATTCCAACTCCGAGAGGCTTGCACCAGTCCATAAATGGATCACTGGAGCTTGCACACTTTGTTAGCTCCCTTTGGATAGACAAAACCTTCCGGTTGCATCACATACAACACTTCTTCCAGAAATCCATTTAGGAATGCAGTTTTGACATCCATTTGCCAAATTTCATAATCATAAAATGCGGCAATTGCAAACATGATTCGGACAGACTTAAGCATCGCTACGGGTGAGAAAGTCTCATTGTAGTCAACTCCTTGAACTTGTCGAAACCTTTTGCAACAAGTCAAGTTTTGTAGATAGTAACATTACCGTCAGCGTCAGTCTTCTTCTTGAAGATCCATTTATTCTCTATGGCTTGCCGATCATTGGGCAAGTCAACCAAAGTCCACACTTTGTTCTTACATGGATCCCATCTCAGTTTCATGGCCTCAAGCCATTTTGCAGAATCTGGGCTCGCCATCGCTTCTTCATACACTACTAGGGAAAATCCTAGCAGCAGCGCGGGTTTTAGGCCTATCAGTAGCGCGGCCTGGAGCGCTACTGGTACGGTGCTATAGCTAAAGCTTAGCAGTAGCGTGCCTAGACCCACGCTACTGCTAAATCGACTTAGTAGTAGCGCTTCTCCAGAGGAGCGCTACTGGTAATTAGTAGTAGCGCTTCTCCTTACCCTCGTGATACGTCTCCAACGTATCTATAATTTTTGATTGTTCCATGCTATTATATTACCTGTTTTGAATGATTATGGGCTTTATTATACACTTTTATATTACTTTTGGGACTAACCTATTAACCGGAGGCCAAGCCCATATTGTTTTTTTATTGCCTGTTTCAGTATTTCGAAGAAAAGGAATATCAAACGGAGTCCAAACAGAATGAAACCTTTGACAATGTGATTTTTTGGAAGATTATCATCCTGGAGACTTGGAGATCACGTCAGAAGATACTCGAGGAGCCCAGGATATAGGGGGCGCCCCCCTACTGGGCGCGCCCCCCTGTCTCGTGGATCCCTCGAGCACCTCCCGACTGACTTCTTTCTCCTATATATTCCCTCGTACCCTAAAAACACCGAATATCAAGATAGATCGGGAGTTCTGCCGCTGCAAGCCTCTGTAACCACCAGAAACCTCTCGAGAGCCCTTCCCGGCACCCCGCCGGAGGGGGATCCTTCACCGGTGGCCATCTTCATCATCCCGGCGCTCTCCATGACGAGGAGGGAGTAGTTCACCATTGCGGCTGAGGGTATGTACCAGTAGCTATGTGTTTGATCTCTCTCTCTCGTGTTCTCTCTCGTGTTCCCTCTATGGCACGATCTTGATGTATCCCGAGCTTTGCTATTGTAGTTGGATC